CGAAGACACATTGAGCACGAAGGGGGGCACAGGAAGTCAGAATCTCCCAGGAGGCATGATTACAAACATGGAAAATCATTATCGAGTCCTGAGGAACGATTCGTCACTTCTATGACGAGATAGATCAGACGACATGACTGAAATTGACAGACGGGAGGGCGTGTCGTCTGATAATAGACCTGACGAGATGATTGAAATTGTCTGACTATGGACAGGTTCTGACGATATATCTCTACTTAGTTTCATATATGTATTATTAATTTATTACGTTCCTTTACATATAAAACGATCACTAACTTAAGTGTCGGAGGGTCGTTGGCTTCTAGCCAACGGCCGACGTTGACTAATTCTTTTTTGCACAGGAACCGTTGACAATGGAGGAGACGATGTGCTAACATACAAAGCCTTAAAACACGTCAAAACACAATTGACAGGGGGCTTACATAATACAAAGCCTTACAACACGTCAAAACACAATTGACGGGGTGCTCACATCATACGAAGCCTTACAAAAAATGTCAAAACACAATTGATGGGGGGGGGGGGCTTACAGAATTTAATGGGAAGGGTTAGTCTGCCCATGAGAATATCATGGATCACAATCCTAACAGAGCCCATACGATACGTTTAGGCCAAAACTAAAGAAATATACAACAGAAGCATATGAACGACATTGGCCAAAAGCATGACAACAATAGCTCCAAAACATAAGGAGACCATATGAACGACATCGACACAAATCACAAACACTCATGTCGACAATATTGCTAAAAGTACAAATAACACGTTATTCACAATTTTTGCAGGATATGGACCATGTTCACGCAACCCAACTTGTCATCTTTAGCTACGGACGATGTTCCCTTTGCCAGCAAAAGTGTTGACATCGACATGAAAGATGTTGTAAATTTATGTCATATAGTCGTCAGCACAATTTTGGAGGGAAGAAGATAAAATGCCAGCTTCCGGTCTTCATTGTTGTAGTCAAGGAGACGGATTTGAACGGAAGTTATCCGAAAGAAGGACATAATCATTTCATCAAATAAGATGACCAATACGTAAGCTGCCAATGAGCCGATAGGTGCAATGAACCATGATGCGAAGTGTATTTTCAAACTTTTTACAAGTTGATTCTTAATAGGTTGACATATGCATGATACGCCTCAACTTCTCGAAAGGGGGCTATTGTTGGTGCAGGAATTTGACAGCATCCAAGAATCTTAACCCACGACAATTAATGACGCGTTTATTAGGATTAATGCTAGCTGATTAATTCTAGCGGTTTTATGTGTATTATGAGAGTTATTACTGTAATTAATGCGTTGGTTACTCAAATGGCTGACCGGAATTTATGACGACATAATGACGACTTTGATGTCGTCGTAACAATCGAAACCGTCAATAACGGGCAAAAGGAGATTAAATGTCTCTCTCATAAATAGAACCAAGTTCCATTGTATTCAGGGACCATTCATTCGAATAATACTCTAAGTTTCACTCTATTTTGCTTATTTGACATTCTTCTCGCGCGTTGTTCTTGCCATTTTCCTTACTGTTCTTGTACGAAACCCAATCAATATACAATTTTCATTTTAATTAGTTTTAGCTTGTCAAATTTCCGCTAAAACATACACAATACACATAAAAAGTATTTATGCACACATAATTTTGTCTATGCCAGACATGTTCACGGACAAATTTTGTCCTGTACAAATAAATTTTTTCACAAAGAATTTTGTTTTCTCGAAAACTGTAAAAGGTAATAAAAGGTACATAAATGGGATAATTTGAGTTTGCACTCCATTTTATTGTGCAAATTGGAGTTTGCACTCCGTTTTTAAAAAAAATTGTTTTTGCACCCCAACCCCATGTGAAAAGACAGAAATGCCCCTCCATTAACAATTGTGTTGGCCTTTTTTACATGTTTAAAAATATTTAGTTTGTAAATTTATAAAAATATTTCTATATCTTTCGAAAATTGAGAGTTGATAATTGAGATTAATAAAAGAAGACCGACTATAGTTGAGATTATTTATAGCTTACGCATAGTTGACAAATAAATTTGACTTGCTATACCAGGTTGTAGCCGATAGAGAATATTATTTGAAAATAGTCCCTATAGTTGGGACCATACAGGAATAATCGATAGTTGAGATTATTAGTAGTGGACCAATAATAGTTGAGATTATTTTTTTCAATTTTTTCAACAAATAAAGAAATAAAAGTTATTCGCTAGTATTCGCCACATGTGGAGTTGCAAAGTCATTTTTTTGTGAAACATATACTCCCTCCGTCCCTTAAAACTTTGTCATCTTTCCCTTTTGGGAAGTCACTAAAATATTGCCACTTTCCCTTTTAATCAATATTTTGTGGTTTCTATTATTTATCTCTCCTCTGCACAAACTTCAACCACGCAATTTTTACTTTATTATACTCTGTGCCGGTCAACTTTGGCAAAATTTTAAGGGTGTATGTTATTCACTTAACTATGATACAACAACATCCAAGACTTAATCCCAAAAATATTGAGGGTCGACTAACATGAATCGATCTATGATATCAATTCCAAATAGAGAAGACGGACAAAAGGAAGAAAAAAAAAGTAAAATAAACCGGATGAAATAAAAATAAATATATATAAGATAAGAATACCATAAGAAGATAAGAAAGATAAATGATAGATGGATAAAAGAGCATAAAAAAACTAGAAGATAAAAATAACATTAGATATAAAAAAGATAAAGAAGATAGACGATAAAAGAGAAGGGAGAGAGAGAGAGAGAGAGAGAGAGAGAGAGAGAGAGAGAAGACATCAATCGTCCTCATGGATGTGCGTCATCCACTTTGCTCTCTCCAAAGTCATACTCTCATCCAACACAAGAAGTCGCACATGAGTTCGGATTCCTCTAATCCAGGTCTGTTTCAGTCTTCCCCCCCTCTCCTCTCCATCTCTCTAACTCGGTTTTCTACGCACATGTCCAAACATCCGCAAACGAGACTCCTGCATCTTATATTCTATGATATCAATTTTTAATTAAATTGTAATTTTGATTTTACAACTTTAAAATTTTTTAATGTAGTTTCTGAATATGTATACTTTTATTATTTTAATTGAATTAGTTATCGATATGAAGGATATAAATAGGGATGAACATATCTGTTTGGTTTAACCAAACTGAACCAAACTAACCCGGATCATTTGAAAAATAGTTTGAATTTGATACTCCGTAGTATTTCTACCAAATCGTATTAAACCGAATCGAAACCGATAAAATCCAAAAAAAAAAGGAATTAAACTAAAAAAATTCAGTAAAACCTTCACATGTTATTTATAAATAACAAATCATAACTGAACTAAACTGAAGTAAATCAATTTGAATAATAGTACTCCGTTCCAAATTGAACCAAAACCGATAAAAACCGAACCGAAAACAAATATGCACACCTAAGATTTAACTTTAATATTAGTTGATAAAAATGTTGATTTTCCAAAACAATATGAGGAGGAGTAATAATAAAAGGTTATTGTAATAGACTATGCTAAGCTAAAGGTTATATTGGATGTCTATACACATAAAAAAGTGTTTATGCACATATAGAGCTCATTTGGTAACACGAAAATCGGGTGAATCGACTGATTCTGCTAAAATTTATGAAATTAGGGAAAGTTCCCGAAATAGGACTAAAAAAGTTTGGAAATTCCAAAATAGCACTGTCATGTTTTTATTCCCAAAATAGGAGTAATTACTGCCAAGTTTGGAAAATACTGCAATGTTTGAAGTCTGGTACTGCCAAAACATGACAGTAATTAGTCCTATTTTGGGAATAAAAACATGGTAGTCCTATTTTGGAATTTTCAAACTCTTTTAGTCCTATTTCGGGTAATATCTCATGAAATTATGGCTGAAGTGACTGCATTGGCTGATTCTGCGATTTAAGAAAAAATATTTTCAAAATATATTTTATTAATAAAATAAAGAAAAACTATGGAAATAGCTAAAATGATCATTTACAGTAACTTCAGACAATACAGCCAGCAAAGTAACTCCAACCTTACTTTTTCTTATTACTACGTATTACACAACTCATCGCGCGAAAATAAAAGTTACGTGTTTGATGAAAATATTGGCTAATAAGCCTGATAAGCCAAAAATAGTGTTATCAAACGGCCTCGTAATTTTGTCTATGCCTGTTCACGGACAAATTTTGTTAGCACAAATAAATGTTTTTACATAGATTTTTTCTCTCGGAAAGTGTAAAAGGTAATACAAGGTAAATAAATACTTTTTTTTTTATAACAGAGACTCGCCTCTATTCATATCATCAGTTTCAGGATCATTACATCAAACGAAAAACAAATCTGACACCAAGTACCAACGAACCTCCAAAAGCTACGACTGTAAACCCTATGATCAGACGTAGAGATGGTCACCCCTGAAAGAGCAACATGAATCGCCAATCATGTAGTAGTCTTGATCGGTCCCATAGATCCCTATATTCCCAACGACATAAACATAGGCTAAATTTCCAAACAAACTGGCAAAACTAACGAGTAAACAAGAGTCCAAATGACAAATAATATTTGTCATTGGTCGCAGTCTGAAGCTTTGCCCTTGGTCGCAATCAGAAACTTCGCCGGAAAAAGACAGCCCTAGCCGGAAACCTATACTCGTGCGTACAATGTTGATTTTCAAAAACAATTTGAGGAGTAACAATAAAAGGTTACTGTAATGTATTGAACTATGTTAAACTAAAGGTTATATTAGGTGTTTGTGTACACATAAAAAGGGTTTAAGCACATACGTAGCATAATTTTGTCTATGCCTGTTCACGGACAAATTTTGTCCTGCACAAATAAATTTTTTCACACAGAATTTTGTTTTCTCTAAAAGTGTAAAAAGTAATACAAGGTAAATAAATACTGTGTAATCCTGGATGTACAAATGGAATTCTTCAATAATATCTTCCAAAAAAAAGAATTGTTTTTGTTTATTAATAAAAGGTTACAGTAATAGACCGTGGTAAACTAATAAAGTTACAGACGACTAATGGGGCGGCTTGAACTTTGAATGATATACTATACACAGTGTACGGACGCAGCCCGTTTTTCTTTCGCCTCTCCTTTTTGATATTATTAAAAAATCATCATACGAACAAAACAATAAGAACATCCCTTCAATTCGATTTGCCCAATTTGAAATTCCATTCCATGAGCTGGAAGATCCCATATCTGAAATGGGCACTCACAGCGGCAGCGATGGTGTTGACGAAAACCGCCTCCATTAGCTACGCCGCAGATCCCCGCATCGAGGAGGCTTCCCCCGTCACCTGCGGCCGCAACAGAACCTCCACCAACGTCATCATCCCAATGTTCACCTCCGCCATGGAGTCCATCTCCCAATCCGTCACCGATCGCGGCTGGGGATCCTCCAGCGCGCGCAATTCCTCCGCCGTCTCAATCTACGCCTTGGCCCAGTGCTACGGCGACCTCCTCCCCCGCGACTGCCTCCTCTGTTTCGCCTCCAGCCGGACCAAGCTCCCCCGCTGCCTCCCCGCCACCTCCGGCCGCCTGTTTCTCGACGGCTGTTTCATCCGCTACGACCGCTACAACTTCCTCAGCGAGAGCACCGATTCGCGCCTGGACACAGCCAACTGCAGTAGCGCCTCGCGCGGCACGGCGGTTTTCGGGGCGGAGGCCAGGAGATTGATTGACGGCGTGGCGAGTGACGCGGTGGCGCGTGGAGGATACGCGACGGGGAAGCAGAACGGGGTGTACGGATTGGCGCAGTGCTGGAAAACGGTGAGCGGAGAAGGGTGCAGGGATTGCTTGGAGAAGGCGAGGAGAGAGGTGAAGGGTTGTTTGCCGAGCACGGAAGGCAGGGCGCTGAACGCCGGCTGCTACCTGAGGTATTCCGCCGTCAACTTCATCAGCAATCGGAATGAGGACGACGGCAGTAATTCCGGTGAGTCTTTCACATTCTCTCCAGTCTCACCAAAAAGTCATTCTCTCTTAGCTTAAAAAGTCAACTTAAATATACGGATTATATTCTTTTCTTTTGCTTTTAAATTCAAGCCTTCCCCTAAATGAGGCGTTCTTTTGATTTTAGAGGCGTGATTAAGAACAGTAAAAATTAGATTTATTGCGAAACGAAAATAAAAACATAATGTCAATTACTTAGACGTTAAAAGTCTTAAATAATGTCAAAGATCATTAATCCGTCATTTGGAAATAATTCTCTAACTTCATCTTTAAAACGAATAAGCAATAATAATTGTACGAATTGTTATTCATACATTGGCAGGGGCACGGCGCTGTATATACTCCCTATATACTACTCCGTATGTACATACTTCCAAGTTTAGACCGGAGTAATGAGGTATTACGAGTCTAAAAAACCAAAATATAGAATTTTTGGACTCCTAATTGTGTGTAGTGGTAGTTTAAAAGGGGTATTAAAAATGGGAAAGTGGATGGAGGGGATTAAATATAGAGAGTTGGTTAAGAGGAGTGGGAAAAGGAAAAAGAAAGAAAAAAGAAGAGAAAGGACGGTCGTGGGACTCCTGGGTTGCTTTTTTCTTCTTCTGCAGATGATGTCATGCTGATGTCATCCCTGCATCATAATATCCCAAAATTTTTTGAACTTGTATAACTTTTTTATTTTTTTATCCAAATTTTTCAAAAAATATATCAAAATTCATAAATTTTTATGATCTTTCATATGATACCAATCTGTAATATATTAAATGATTTTTTTAAGTTTTAACTGGTGAAGTTTTCTTGAACCTCGGAAAAACATGAAACACAATTTTTTAATTTATGGAGCCTTCACAAATAATTGAATATTCCATAATCAAACTTTACTTGAACTAAGTTCATATTTTGTTAACAAAAAAAAGTTAAAAAAATAATTAAATTTATTTATTTTTACATCGAAATATGCATTTTTTATTTCATAATTATTCAGCGAAAAAATTAAAAGCAAAACATTACTTATAATAATTAAATTAATGTTTTGCTAAATTGATAAGTTAAAATATATGCTGAGTGTATTTTATTGACGGCGCTGGAATGCTAAGTAAAAGGATGTTTTTACTTGGACTGTAATTTGCTGGTCTGGTCTGGTCTGGTCTGATCTGGTCTGGACTGGTCTGGTCTGGTCTGGTAAGGTCTGGTTTCTTTGTACTTTTATAACTATCCAAGTCTGGTCTGGTCTGGACTGGTCTGGTCTGGGACAAATTACAATCCAAGTAAAAACATCCTAAACACTGTTTTCATATCGACGAAGTCCATTTTTAACAATTTGGTCTCTCAACCACTACAAATGGTCTTAGAACACGTAGAGGCGGTAGGTAGTCTTAGTGACTTTATTTTTCGAGAGCTTCTTGTTGTACACACTTTTATATCCACCTTATACCCACCATGTCTTTGAAGGTTTTTGTTTTGCCTGTGAATCCGATTAACAGACAAAACAATTTGCACAAACATATTTTGCCTGTGAACGAGATTTACAGCAAAAAAAAAACTGTTCACAAACATGGTGAGTATAAAAGTGGGTATAAGGGTGGGTACAAACATTTTTTTTTGTTATTTTTTGGCTTATCAACTTTTTAATCATAATTTTTCATTTCGACTTTTTGTTACTTAATTGTGTAATAATAAGAAAAAGTAAGGTTAAAGTTACTTTTCTGACTGTATGGACAGAAGTTATTGCAGATGATCATCGTAGCTATTTTTTATATATTTATTTATTTATTTTATTAATAAAATATATTTTAACTACAATACAATTTTTCATAATTGAGTAATTTCGGTTAATTCAGCGATTTCGGTCACGTCTTTTGCAAATTCAATCAATATTATTGTTTCTAATCGGGCTTCAAATTTTATTATAAGATGTCACATTTTCATTTATTATAAGATGTAACAAATTTAATTTTCATTCACAAATTGAAAAAGTGTAATGTTTTAAACAATAGTGAAACAAAAAAAACCGTAAGATAATATTCGTGTATTATTTTGTTTGCTACACCTTTTTAAGAATATATTCTAATTTTTGCTACACATTTTTTTGGAGTGTATTCTGATTTTTATTACACACTTTATTTTTATAAGTTTTCATTTTAAAAGTACTCAATTATTTTTATTTTTGTACTTTTTCTTAAAGTATTCACACATTTTCATCTTTTTTCCTATATTTTCTATATTGCTTCCTCTGTAACATTCATAACTTCTCATTTTCTTTTTTCAACCGTAATATTCATATCTTCTCATTTCTAAATCTTCTCATCATATCCTCAATAATTTTGAAAATAATACGAGTACAATATTACTACTTTTTTTTGTTTTGTTCTTCATTCCAACACAACTATTTCATTATCTTCTCATTATATCCTTAATAATTTATATCTCTTTTCACTATTTTTAATGTCACGTACGTACTTTTAAACGGAAAGATATATACTTCGGTTATGGAGATGGTAATAATTAGATTTAAGGAGTGTTTGGGGTTGATTAAAAAAAGCGCTTTTCAGCTTTTGGCTTAAAAAAAGTTGAAAAGAGTGTTTTCAAATGATAGTTTCTGCTTAAATTAATCACTTAAAAGCTAAAAGCTGGAAGCAGGTAGAAAGGTGTTTTAAACTGCTTCTCACTTTTTCTTAGGCCTGGGACCGGTTCGGTTCCTAGGCAAAATATGTGGAACCGTTTGAAAATATGAAATTTTACTAACGGTTCGGTTCTTATAAATTATTTTATAGAACCGATAAGGAACCGAACCGTTCTTAACGGTTCGGTTCTTGTCATTTAACGGTTCCTAGTCTTTGAAAAAAATCTTACAAATCACGACTAAATTTTTGTCAAAAAGACATTCAACGTTTCAAATTACAAAACAAATATGTTGAACCAGTTAAAGAGAATAATAGTTTTAAATAGTTTGGACCTTCCGAGTTCCGACCCGCTCGAGTTTGGACCTAATGAGAGGCCTAAGAAGCCTCAGAGAACCGGTTGAAGTGAATAATAGTTTTAAATAGTTGAATAACTAAACTAAAATAATGAATGGAATATAAAAATAAATAAGTAAATATACATAAAATATATATACTCGTAAGAAATATATATAATTTTAATTAATATATATAACGGTTCTTTAACGGTTCCTAGTACATATTTTTTTCAGGAACCGAGAACCGAACCGTTAATAAAAAATAGGAACCGAACCGTTAACAAATAACTAATAAATGTTGGAACCGAACCGAACCGGGTCATAACGGTTCGGTCCGGTTCGGTTCTCCGGTTCTTGGTTCCAAAGTCCCAGCCCTACTTTTTCTATTACACAAAAAGTACTTATTTTACCAAACACTACCAACTTTTATTTTTTCAGAATCACTTTTTTCTCAAACACTACCAACTTTTACTATTAATCACTTTTCCCAAAATCACTTTAAAATATCACTTTTTTAAAGTTGAAGCAATCACAAACACTCCCTTATTACCTTTTTTTTTTTTTTCTTAAAATTTTCACCTTTTCTCTTTCTAGAAGGGATGCATGTCATTATTGCACGTGTCATTAGTTACGTACACCTCACTTCATCACTAGTTAATGTACGGATACGGCAGATCAGAAGCAGACCCCGACTTATGAATTGATCTGGAACGAGAAATTGATATTGCCGACCATCCTCTTAAATACGAGGGACCCAGCCCATTCCAGTACGAGTACTACTTTTTAATGAATGAACAGCAGAAACTTACTCCTTTCTTCCTTCAAAGTTTGTCACATTTTTACTTTTTCACCACTAATTACTCAAAATTAATTATATTTTATCCCAAAAAAATTATTTAATGTGATTCTTTGTAATATGTATTATTCAAATGTCAATTTATTATAGATTTTATAGGTATATATTAATAAATAATTAAGGTTAAACGTCTACCTAGAAGACCGCAAAAGTCAAAGAGTGACAAACTTTGAGAGACGGAGGGAGTATATCCGCCCGTGACTGAACAAGGAAGCATAAGACCATTTTTAGGGCAGAGGTGTTTTTTTTACCAGGAGTGCAAAGGTGTTGGGAGTCTAAAAAGTTAAGTGCATAGTTTTTAGGGATTTAAAAGTGGGAAGGGGAATGGGAGGGTATAAAAACAGAGGGAGGTTAGACAGCTTAAAAAGAGGAAAAAGAGTAGCTGAGTTGGTCCGGTCGTTATAGCTCATGTTGATAATTGACTAAAGATCGAAACCCGCAACGACAGTATAAACAGAAATTGACCTAAATAGGAGTAAAAACGTTTTGAAATTCCAAAATAGGAGTATCATGTTTTTTATTCCCTAAATAGGAGTAAATTTCTGCCAAGTTTGGCATTACAAGGCTTTTAATTTTAAACATGGCATTTTCTTCCAAACTTGGCAGATTACTCTTATTCAAGGAATAAAAAACATGATACTCCTATTTTGGAATTTCAAAACGTTTTTACTCCTATTTAGGGAATTCTCTCCAGTATAAAAGTTACAACTCATGTGTGCTTGATTGGACTTCTGATGCGCACGATGCAAGATATTTCACTGATGAACTGACTGAATCACTGTGACTTACAATCTTTCAAATACCTTGTCGGGTCAGGGGCGGGAGGGTCCTTGAGGTTGATGATTCAATCTTCTAGAGAAAAAAAGGGAAGAAAAGGGATCATGAGACACCGCCGTTATGTGGGTGACCTCATCACAATGTCATCATTGTGTAATAAGAACTTTTTCTAACGGAAGATAGCCTTTTTATTTATAATCCAAATTTTTGAAAATATATCAAAATTCACAAATCCTTAAGATCTTTCATATGACATTAATATTGCATATATAATTTTTTTTAAATCTGAAATTTCAATTGATACTTTGCTGGAGTTGTTTAGACCCAAAAAAACATGAAACGAAAATTTTCAAGTTATAGTGCTTCAACGAATAATTGAACTTCATATAAACTCATTTTATTTTTATTAAAACCGAAATAAACTAATGACATCTACTTATCTAACATTGTAATGCGTGTTTTTTATTCCATAATTATTCAGAAATAAAATCATAGAAAAACACTATTATGATAATTTAATTAATATTTATTTAATCAATATTTTAAAATAATATGTAGAGTGTATTTTATTTACCGATTTACGGTGTTGGACTGATAGAGAAAAAAAGTATTGACAGAGTATATACACAGTTCTCGTATTGACGAGATCCATATTTAAGTTTTTAACCAGCGTAGGATGCATATAGTCTAACATGCTTGAATTACATTGTCAATCGGTCCCACCAACCGATTGAAGACACGATAGGTAACCAAACCCAATCCGGAAAAAAAAAGGATGACACCCCATCCCTGAGGGCCCCCAAACACCGACCGGACGGTACGATGGGAGGATGTAAATTGGACTATAATCACAATCTGACAGATAGGGAGTGGGGCTCTGTCCCCGGTACTTGCTGAAGCCCTATGCATTTTTCAGCATAGTAACCCCTCATCGCAGTTGCCGGGATTCGAACCCGAGACCTAACCCTTGTGGCACTCTCACTACCAGTTGAGCTACGCCCACCGGTATTTTTTATTAAAAGAAGACCGCTAAAAGGTTCCCAATCCGAGTTATGTCTAGGCCGAACTAAAGGTTCTCTCATCCCGGTATCGAAATGTAATTATACTAGATTTAGACATTACAAATGGAATAAATATGAAAAATGAAAAATTTATACTCCGTTTAAAAAGAAAAATTGTCTTGAACTTCAATGCACCTTACCCCGGGGAAGGAGCTAGGTGGGCAACCTTGGCCTGGCCCACCCAAAATTAAAAAAAAAAACCTTTAAAAATAAATTTTCTGAATTTTTTTTTGTAATGATAGATCAATCTCTCTCTAATCTCTAAATTCATACTCATCACTAATATAAATGGAGAACTAGAGGGAATAATTCTCAAAGAAACTAATGATAATAAAAAAGGAAGATATTCTCAGAATTTCCATTGAAATTAGTACGAAGTACTCCGTATATTTTTACATCTCCATTATTAATGTTCATCAATATCAGAAAAGGTGTCAACAAACATAAAAAGGTACCGACGTTCAAGAAGTACACGAACTTGTCGAAAGCTAATCTCAAATATTGATAATCTTAGTAACTTTTCTCTGAAAAATTACTTACAAACTATAGTCTTTCCACAGGAATTTAAAATTTTCTGATGTCACATCAGAATACTAACCAATTTTCTATAAATTTGTAGTAGCATCTTTTTATAGTTAACCAATTGTTTATCAGTTTATCTTTGAAAGCAATGATTATATAAAATTTTGTTGCCTTCAGCAGTATCAAAAAAAGGAGTAAAAGTGGCAATTGCTTTGAGTCTAACGGCATTTATTATGGTTGTTGCATTTGCTGGCTATGGATGTCGTAAGAAGGCTTTGAAGCGAAAAGAAGGTACGATATGTTTATGTATCATTGAAAACCTAAATTAATATGAACAGGAAAATTCTAGAAAAATGCTTCAACACATTTTCATCCGGTGACAATTGACAATTCATCATCATTACCGCAATGTCATAAAGGCTTCCCACCTACAGTGGGGTAAGAGGGATTTAGATGTATGCAGCCTTACTTAGGGGTGGACCGGTTCCGGGCCGGGCCCGATTCGGGCCTTGAACCGGCCGGGCCTCTGTTCAAGGTAGGGGAGGCCCGGAACCAGCCCGGGTAACCCCGGGTCCGGTTCGGTTCGGGCCGGGCCGGGCCCGGTTCGGTTCTATATAATTTTTTTGTTTTTTTTTGTTTTCCTAATCAACCCCCTACCCTCCCCCTCAACCCCAAACCACCCCAAACCACCTCAAATGGCCCAAAATACCCAATCCAACCCAAAAACTTAAAAAAAATTCAAAAAAAAAAAATCCGGCCCGGACCGGGCCTGAACCGGCCGGGCCGGTTCACCAAAATGAAGGCCCGAGCCCGGAACCGGTAGCCACCAGGCCGGGTCGACCCGAACCGCCCATGGGCCGGGCCGCCGGGCTGGGCCGGTTCAAACAGTGACCGGGCCGGGCCGGTTCCGGTTCGGGCCGCCCGGCCCGAGTCCAACCCTAGCCTTACTCATGTACTAAAGCACAAAAAGACGGTTTTCGGATGACCCATAGTGAAAATTGTGTCGAAAGTTCATGAACTGACTGGTGCTTCACAACAAAAAAGCGCACAATTTAGTGAACGGTTTTGCTTTATTTCATCACATTCCCAAGAAAAAAAAGTGAGTCTTTGGCTCCATTGCAAATGATGGAAATGGAAATAATGACAATTGTATGACTAAATAAGATATTGCGGTGAACAGAACAATAGTGTACTTTAAGTGATGTGGTTATATACATTTATCTTTTTTTTAGCCCTCCCATCAATTTTTTTTTTTTAAAGTGATGTGGTGCCTAAAACTCCAATTTACGTTTTTCATATTTTTTTAAAATGTTTTAAAATGTATTTTGTCAATGTAAATAAAGTAGTATCTTTCGTGAAGAGTACATTGAAAATGTTTCCACATTATACTTAAATAAACAAATATCGTATCGACTATCGAGTCCTTTGAAAAATTGCATCTAAAATCGAGACTGGGGATATGTGAGGTACACTAGTTTTGTTTTCAGAGATGGATGTAAGAAAATATTATTTTACCGAAACCCAAAATGAACAATATTATCCTTGCATAGACAAATAATATATTTAAGCTGAAAATAAAATTTATATCAATTGATACGCAAAGACTTACAACGTCCTTGACTGCAATTCAGAACAAAGGAATCTTGGTGCAATATCAATCACTTACAACAGATCCAATCTGAATTTCAAATACGAAACTCTGGAGAAGGCTACAAACTACTTTGGTGCTAATACAAAACTTGGGCAAGGAGGGGCTGGTTCTGTGTACAAAGGAACACTGGGTGACGGGCGAGTTGTGGCGGTGAAGAGGTTGTTTTTCAATACAAGGCAGTGGGTTGATGAGTTCTTCAATGAGGTGAACCTTATAAGTGGAATTGAGCACAAGAATCTTGTCAAGCTCTTGGGCTGCAGCATTGAAGGTCCCGAGAGCCTTCTAGTTTACGAGTTTGTACCTAACAACAGCCTTGACCATTACCTTTTTGGTACTTACTCTAGTTCTAGTTTCTTTCTTCTCCTCTATCATATGTATTGTGAAAGGGTGATTGCTTTTATGCAGTTTTTCTTAAGCAGTCCCTGTGTTACTATACACCCTGGTGGCACTTTAGTCTCTTAGAGTTCAGTATTCCATTGTGATGTCTGACAGGAAGATGGACTAAAAACCATAACCAAAGAGTAGATTAAAGAATCATATTCGTAAAAAAACACAAGGGACTAAGAGAGCATTTGTGATTACTTTTTAGGGGATTGAGTATATTTTAGATGAAGAAAAATACTTTTCGTTCAGAAAGAAGTGTTTGACAAGAAAATAGACATAATGCTTTTAATCGTTTAAAAACCACTTGTAGTGCTTATTTGACAAAACAGCAGCAGATTGGTTCTTTTTTTTTTAAATTATGTGTTTAAATGAGAACCCAAATATGATAAAACACTTATGCTAAGTCATCCCAAACAGCCTCTAAAATGGCTGAGACTAAAAAAGAAATTTACTCTTTCTGGAGTGGTAATTCACTCGATGTAAAAAAGAAATTTACCCTTTCTGGAGTGGTAATTCGCTTTTCTTTATTATTGTTGTTGTATTTCTAATACCATCATTGTTATTATTATGATTTGAAGATAATAACAAGGACAAGATTCTAACCTGGAAAGAGCGATTTGACATTGTGGTGGGGGCAGCAGAAGGTATAGCCTTTCTCCATGAAGGGACGACAATCAGAATAATCCACAGGGACATCAAGACCAGCAATGTCCTTCTAGATGAAAATCTTTGTCCTAAAATTGCCGATTTTGGTCTGGCACGTTGTTTTGCAACCGATAAAACTCATCTGAGCACAGGCATTGCCGGGACACTGTAAGATCACAATAAAGATACCATCACACAACATTTAATGCATTTGCCTGTAAATACAACTCATTTAATGATGCAGGGGGTATATGGCTCCAGAATACCTTGTCAAAGGACAACTCACGGAGAAGGCTGATGTCTATAGCTTTGGTGTGCTTATTCTTGAGATCATCTCTGGTAGAAAGAGCAATGCCTTCTTAGAAGAATCTGGCTCCCTACTGCAAACGGTATGTTCCATATATCTATCTACATTATCCTACTCTGGAACAATTTTCTATGCATAGCATGCTATGCTGTTATAAGAAACCATCTCAGCTTGGGCTGAGATTGTCTCAGCTCACTAAGGGAGTGTTTGCAACTGCTTAAAAAAAGCGTTTCTCGGCTTTTGGCTTAAAAAAGGCTAAAAAGAGTGTTTTCAAATGACAACTTCTACTTAAAAAAGTGTTTCTCGGCTTTCGTGTGAAAGTGCTTTTTACTTTTTCTATTACACAAAAAGCACTTATTTTACCAAACACTATCAACTTTTACTTTTCAAAATCACTTTTTTCTCAAATACTATCAACTTTTACTACTAATCATTTTTTCATAAATCACTTCCAAAAATGTTTTTTTAAGCAGAAGCAGTTACAAACACTTCCTAAGGCTCGAGCTCGGTTTATTTATTTGCGAAAGCAGGTAGAGCTCGGATCAATAATTGTGGTAAATAGGTTTGTGGCATAACTTTCAATTGACTCTCATAGATATTGTTCGCTTACATGTGGCTCGTAACCTCAGCCCGGCACGATAAGACTAGTAAGCTTGGATCTGCGCAATGAAGCTCGAGCACGAATTTGAGCTTGGTTCTGAGATCATAATCTTAATGAGCTGAGCCGAAGCCAAGTTCCAAATAGGCTAGAGTCAGGCTGATGACCACGCTACGTAAGGCTCATAAGTTTGGATCGGCTAGGTAAGGCTCATTAGGATGACTCGACACAATAAGACTTGCTTGAAACGAGCTGATTTCAACCATGCTCATAATAAGTTAAAGTCGAGCTCATATATGCAGTGCTCTAGAAGACTTGATGTATTCATATATATGCCTGTTACTTTTTGAAATAGGTATGGGGGCTTTTCAGAAGTGATCGGTCCACTGAATTAATTGACCCTTCTCTCAGAGGCAATTTTCATGAAAGTGAGGCATCAAAAGCGGTTCAAGTTGGGCTAGTATGCTGTCAGGCAGTAGCTCCTTTAAGACCATCCATGTCTCAGGTTGTGAAGATGCTAACGATTGAAGATTATGAAATTCCTGAACCACACCAGCCGCCTTTCATCAACTCCACCCTATTGGAGGGCGGCTCAATGAGGAGTATAAAAAATTTGGTATCCCATGCACTTAAAATGCACGATGTCTCTTCATCTGTTTCCACCACAGACCAATCTTATAGCATGCAGAGTTCTTCTGAGGAATTTCAACACCATTAGGTTTCAAAGTCCTGCATTTGACGGCCTTTGATGGTTTTTTCAAAAAATTTGTCGTTGAATGGCCTGGATAGGTAAGATAGAGAGTTAATAGTTAATGCAGAGTATGTACATGCCGTGAATGGAAGAAAGAAAAACATTGATTTTTATATATTGAATACCATTACAAAAATACAGAGACCAAACAATCCCTATTTCATACTGTTGAGTTAAAAGCTGCCCGTGTTACTCCTACTTCCAGAGAGGATTTGCATTAGAGAAGGTATTTAATTAGGGGATAATTTGCATCTACCTCCCTCAAAAGTTTGGTCAGACTACCAGATGACCATTCAGATCTATGAACATTACAATCAAGTCCCTTTACCACTTTACCAGTTAGAAAATTTTCAAATAATACTGAACGAGAAATGAGTGGAATGATATTGGCGGGAACTGAATTTTTTTCAAATTAAATTTCTCTCATTGCTTGTCCCAAGAATTTGTACAGAGAAAGCATTGTATGACAATATATCCTATAACCCAGTCAGGGTTGTTTGCTGAGAATCTGATCAATCAAGGGGATTAATTCAAATATTCAGAAATCTTTAGTCATTTTAGTCATTTGACAAAACCTCGAAGGAGGTAGATGTCAGGGACCCTTTTTAATTTAATCAGGCACATTGTAAGGTAATTGCTTGGAGTGGCTACTAATCTACTGTAATGAATTAATAGCCCAAAAATGTGTAAATTCTAAAGCCGGTAAGAGCATTTTTTTTAGTAATGCCAAAATTAAGCTATATGTTGTGAGGGCAACAAAACAAGTGGATAACATCTTTAGGAACACCCCTGCATATCGAGTTCTCAGGCATCATAACAATTCTCCAATCATTCAACTTCTTCAGATGTGAAGGACTGAAGTTATAAGTTAATTGTATGAAATGAAATTGGAAATGGAAGTAAAGGCATGCTGTAACAAGAAAACCATATTGAAAATTACCTCTCATGCATTCTTGTAAGGATCTGCATTTCAGAGTTTAGTAGTTCTAGAATACTGTAAATCTCTGCTGACTCCGCATGAGAACCATCCAGTGAATAAAATACATGCTGTTCACTTCTAACCTCTATCCAACTAAACCCCCCACATTTCTTCACTCCTTTCTCTTGCATTAATTTTCTAGTATTCAGAACATCCGTCCATCTTCCTGCTGAAGCATAGACATTTGACAACAGAACATATCCCCCAGATTCTAGGAGGTATCTGTTCGGAACTATTTCTGCCATAATCTCATTTCCATAGGTTTTGCAACTGCTTAGCAGAGCTGCCCACATGTTAGCCTCAGGTTCAAAGGGCATTATTGAGATAAACTTTTCGGCTTCTGTAAGATATCCTGAGCGAGAAAGCATATCCACAACACATGTGTAGTGTCTTTGATTTGGGATTATACTATAAACCTTTTGCATTGAGTTGAAATAATATATGCCTTTATCTACTAGACCACAATGGGAGCAAGCAAATAAAACTGCTAAGAGTATATACTCGTTAGGTGAGAAGGGTGTAGTATCTTCTAATTGTTCAAACAGTTCAAGAGATTCCTCTGCAAATCCATTTTCTGCAAGCCCTTGAATCATGGCCGTCCAAGAAATCACGTTCTTATTAGGCATGTTTATGAAGATCTTCTTAGAGCTTTCAATGTTACCTGATTTTGCATACATATCCAAAAGCGCAGTGTCCACAAATATATCATGCTGGAAACCTAGTTTTAGAAGTTTACAATGTAAGTTCTTCCCTTTCTCTGATGAAGCTTGGTTAGCACATGCAGATAACAAGATGGAGAAAGTGGACTTGTTGGGTTGTTCTCCTGAAAAAATCATTTCATTGAATATCTCAAATAACTTGCCAAATTCTTCGCATTCCAGATAACCAGTCATCAAAGAATTCCAGGAGACATTGTTTTTATGGGGAATTAGATCAAAAAGCTTCCTAGCTTCTATTGATTGTCCATTTAAACTATAACCAGAAACCATAGCGTTCCAGCAAACAGTGTTCTTTTCCAGGATTGAGTCAAAAGCTTGAAATCCAAACTCAGTTTGTCCACATTTGCAATATAAGTCTACCAGTGAGCTGCCAACGAAATTGTTCTTTTCATATCCTAGTTTAAGAATAAGTGAATGAATAGTTCTTCCAGCTTGCACGGCTTTCAAGGCTCCCAATGCACTTAGTACAGCTGAACAGCATGAAATATTTGGCCTCAACCCATCTTTGTTCACCATCTGATGGAAGAGATTTGCTGCCTCTTCAACATAACCGCCATGGTTGTACCTTGAAATCATTGCACTCCAAGAAACTTCATTCCTCTCGGGCATTTCATCAAATATTTCGCGAACTTCCTTCAAGTCCCCATGTTCAACGTACATGTCAAGAATTGCTGTCCAAGAAACAACATCTTTTTTCTCCATCTTATCGAATGTTCTTTTAGCCAAATCACCCCTACTCAACCGCACATAAAACGTAATAAAAGCATTAGAAACTGCCAAGTTGTCCTCAAAACCAACCTTGACAACCAGACCAAGCAGACACATTCCCAATTCAAAGTCCTCTAACTCTCCACATGCTCTAATTACAGAAGTGAAAGTAACATTATTAGGTATGACTCCAGATTGCAGCATCATAGGGAGGAGCATAATAGCTTCAATCTTCAGTCCATTCTGAACAAGTCCACTGATCAACGCAGTCCAAGAAATGACATTTTGAAATGGGTTTCTCCTGAAGTAGCACAGTGCCTCTTCAACTCTCCCGTACCTTAAGAGGCCCGAAATTAAAGCAGTCCAAGAAACTTCATTTCTATTGGGCATTTCATCAAACAGTCGACGGGCTTCGTCGGGCTTCCCACAGTTGATGTTTGCAGAAATTAAACAGTTAGTGGCAACCAAGTTAAACCCATTGAATTCCTTCAGCATTTCATTCGTTTCATCGGATTTTTGAAGAGTTAAATACATAATAAGCAGTTTAACAGCAATATGTTGCTGTGTCGAAATGCCCATTTTGATAAAATGTCCATGGAGGAGAGTTCCGTGTGTAGCTAACCTTTCGTCCGAGAGTTCATTGAGCAGTGAAAGACTCTTGCTAATGTAGGTTTTTAGTTTTCTTGTATCAAGTGCGAATAAAGGTTTTAAAACACTTCTCATTCTGAAGGGTGTATTACCATCTCCAGTAGACCACAATGTCAAGCTCTTTTCGTCGACATTAACACCCGATGCAGAACCCCCGTGCTAACCCATCCAGATTGAGACGCATACAAATTATGAGAACTTGAGAAGATTTCATTTATTGCTGAGAAAATTGTAAGTTAATGTACTTTTATAAAAAAAAAATCAATTGAGTTTTATACTTTAAAATGAGTCAATCAAGTTTTCGAAGTGTTAAAAAACCTATTTCATGAGTGACCGGCGGGTAAACCCGTATACCTGTCTATGTGGATGTCCAGGTGGCCTTTATTTTACTGTTTTCTATTTTTATTCTTCTTTTTTTCTATTGTTCACTTTCTTTCTTTTTTCATTTGTTCTCTTTCATTCTCCCAAACTGCTCGACGACTTTTCTTCTTGCTTGGTGATGGCGGCTAAATTGAAGCAGATTCTCACAAAGCCTCTCTTGACGGTTACTTGGCGGAAAAGCTGCAGACGAGGCGTGAGTGTGCTGAACTAAAGTCTGGGACGACGATCCTTGATGCGCTTCTCCGGTAAGCCAAACCGTCGACGCGACGGACCATCAACAGCACCAGACAGGGTCTTGACAAGGCTACAATACTAGTCCTCAAGTGTCTCACTCACGGTTTCATTAAGCGCGTCTTCAGTTCTTCACTGCCGCCTCATTTCACAAGAACACGCCGGAGAACACCTCGTCCTTCCTCCATCGCCTTTAACAAGCTCATCCTCCACGGCTCCACTCCATATCATGAGAGCAGAACACTAGTCTCCATATCGGGTCTCCTAATGACAATAGAAGGTGTACGTAGGATGGATATTATAAAAAAGAAAGAGAAAAAGAAGAGGGAAACAAAGTCCCTTTGGGGACATCCGAGAAGAAGAGGGAAACAAAGAAGAAGAAGAAAGAAGATGCAGACTTGCAGGGAGAGGAGCCGTGGACTTGCAGGAGAAAGAAGAGAGATAAAAGAGGGGGGGGGGGGGAGGAGGGAAAAAAGAAAAAAAAATTAGAAAAGAAAAGAAAAAGAGTAAAAAAGGGCCAGTTGGACAACCAAGCGTGCGAAGTGTAATAGGACTTATTTGACCGTTTTCCCTTTTTTCCTTTCCAAACTCAATCGTTTTTATTGTTTTTACCGTGAAGTGTGAAGCACTTGCATTTCCAGGTTTTTTTATATTGTGATATTATAATGCCTACATGTTTTTACATGTTTCTCAATATATTCTCGATAGATTATTGTTTATAAAGTATAAATTGTGTGTACAAGTAGCACCCCTCATTCTCTACCAGGGTTGATAGAGTATCAATAAAGAGGTGTTTTTAAATAGCAACTTCTACTTAGGTTTAAACATCTTTAAGCCAAAAGCATCTCTGAGACGGGGTGGATCCAGAACCATATTTGAAGGGGTGGATCGAATTCCACACAAGATCATTTTGTTGGAATTGGAAAATTCTTCTATTCAATATCAAGAACATAATTACAACAGGAGTAGCAAACTCCCACACTCAACTATTACAAAAAATCAATCCTCACCAATACACATCTACTCTAAGTGTATTTCACTCTTCACACACTTTTCTCACTTTCTAAACGGATGCTATGAACAACAATAGAACACTATATTTATAGGACTGGTTTGGAGACAAGAGGTAGTGCTTCCATCTTCTCCATATCTTCTTACCATGTTCATTTGTTGGATAGATCCATCCTAGAAGGTGATTCCATATTAAGGTGTCTCTTGACAACTTCTAAAAAAGAAGGTGGAAGATCCCTACAAATCTCCTCCTCCACATTTTTCTTTATTTCTCTCATTCCTGCGATGCTCGTTGGCCACCCTCGCTAGCAACAGGTATCCATTCAGATGTGGAATACTTTCTCTGTGGAACTATGTCTCGCATAGAACGTTGAACTTGAGTACTTTCAGCTTCGTCTTCAGATGAAGGCTCCCCCTGCTGAGGAATATCATCACTGTGAGCATCTTGATCACATACTGAACCTTCACTCTCTTGTTTAGCAGTATCATGCATCTCCTCGTCGTTGAGAGGAGCGTTTGATGATACAACAACTTCATTTTTTTGTTTGCGGATTATTGGAGCACTCTCATGAAACTTGTTTTCATGAAATACAACATCTCTGCTTCGTACAACTTTCTTCACTCTGGGATCCCACAATCTGTGACACCGCACCCGGATGTACTTGAATTTGGAATTTGATATGTATTCGAATTTCCTAGCGAATAAAATTCGTGTAATTGATTGGCATATTTAATTAATGTGCGATTAATTAAATTGTTTATCGGGTCCAGTATATGTGACCGGACTACCAAATATTTAGTTGGGTCATCATAATAAATTATAGAAGCCCAATAAAGTGCCAATAAAAGTTGATAAAAATATTTGGACAACCCGAGTGCTATTTTGGCCGAACCTACCAAAAATAGCATGAATAATTGGGAGGGACTTCCTACACCCACTTGGGGTATCCCACCAGTCAAATAACTCCCCAAATAATGGGGAGGAGACAGGAAAATAAGCTAGGGGCGTGCATGAAAGAGGAAGTCTCTTGGAGACAAAAACCCACACCCTCCATACCCCACTCTCACATTATTTGTGTGTTTGATTGAGAAGGAATCCTTCCTATCTCATTACACACCACTCGAACAACCAAAGGGGGAGAGAGCTCAAGGGAAGAGTCCTCTCAAAGTCCATAGCTTGAAGGGAGCATCAACAAAGGAAATCCAAGAAGAAAAGGGTGGTGTTTGAGGTAAGAACTCAACAAACATTCTCCTAACTAGTATTATGTTGTATGATTTTTAGTAAATCATATGGTGGATCAAACATGGAGTTCTACACGTTTAAAAGTGTAGAATAATGTTATAAAGTGGTGGTAATTAACTTAGAAGAGTCGTGGAATCGATAGGAGTTGAAATCGCCGGAAACCGCCAAGTATAGGAGGCTGTTCGTAGCTGCAGACCACGAAAGCCGCCCACCTTTCACGAAAGCCGCCCGGCTTTCGTCTGCTGCCCAGATTTTTCATCTCCAAACGGTTTAGAACGGGGATTGATCAAAGGGCTTAACAAGGACAACTATTTCAGCACTTCATAAGGTGAGGATGGCTGACTATATTGCTTATAATCTTTGGGTTAATTTCATGAGATTACCTAAGGTAATTAAATATGTTTTTTAAGGATTATTAATGATTAATAATGCCTAAGAATGAGAAGTCCATTGTCTATAAGGAAAAGAGCATAATATACAAATTTGTAAGAGATTGTGTATGATTATGTGATATGAAAGAAATGGTATGGTAATGGAATTAACTATGAAAATTGTGATAAAATATACTTTTACTTCATGTATGAAATTCATGAATGGATAAAAGTGATATTTTTGATATTGGGATTAAATCATATTTGGATTGGAAAATCAATTGAGATAAACTATTTGGTTATGAATTTAGAACTTGGTTGTTCTAAGGTTATTCGACTAGTATCGAAATACTAGTCGGGAGATTTATATAAATAAATGATGGAATTAATCCTAAGAGATAGGATTGTGAATAGATATGCCTTAAGTAGTCTTAAGAGATGCTTTAAGGTCGAATTGTATGAACACTAAGGTGTGCTAGGGGTAGGCCTAAAGGCTATCCAAGTGAATTGATTCTAGGCATAGGATTTGCTTGAGAATTGAGCTATGAAAATAAATTAGAGTCGGACTCTAGGATTACATGGAAATGTAGTTGGGCCGAGCCCTTGCCATGTAACGTGATTAGCATGGAAACGTAGTTGGGCCGAGCCCTTGCCATGCATTGTGATCTTCATGGAAACGTAGTTGGGCCGAGCCCTTGCCATGAAGTTACGGTTGGTATGGAAACGTAGTTGGGCCGAGCCCTTGCCATACAAATTTAGATATATTAAATTGAGTTAAAGGATTGTATAGAAATGTAGTTGGGCCGAGCCCTTGCTATACAATCGGGACTCGAGGGAACCCTATGGGGTTGTCGTGACTCATGGTCACGGAAAGTGAAAATGGAAAATTCTAAATGAATATGGGCCACGGGCCGACTACTTGACTTTATATAAAGTAAGTATATTTATAAAACAGGGTAACCGGGGGTTACGGCCTACGATATAATATCACTCTATTTGAGGGTCTTAAGAAATTGAAACATTGATTATACTTGGTATAGTTGTCATTGTACTTGTCAAATGCTTCCAAGTACTGACCTCCCCTTCACGGGGGAGGCCACCTCACAGTTTCAGGTAGAACTTGAAGAGTTGCTGCCACCACCCGTTGCTTCGGGGAGATCAAGGGAAGAAGACGTGGTTCGTGCTTCTTCCGTTTCTGTTTCGAAAACAATCTAAATAATGCTCATGGATATTATTTTGAATATTTATTTGGGGCTTGTATGCCCGTGTTTGCCACGTGTGGCCCGGATATTATATTAATGTTTCCGCTGCTTAAATTAAATGTTTTGCATTGTGATTGTTTATGGATGTACTATTGTGAATGGTATTCAAGACGCCTTGTATAGTATGGATGAGTTGGACTGCGGTTGACTGTTCGTACTATACGGCGGGTTGTTGACGTGTCCGGTAGGTCCGGGGCGTGACACAATCGGTATCCGAATTCTTCATCTCTATAGCCGATGAAGATGCATGGGTTTGACTTGAGATCAAACTTCTGTCTCAACTCCTTGGACACATGTGCAAATGCCTTGCACCCGAACACTTTCAAGTGAGAGTAAGAAACATTTCTTCCTAACGATTTCTTCTCCGGCACTTCAAAGTTTAAAGGAAGAGAAGATGACCTGTTTATAAGATAACAAGCTGTCAGCACAGCTTCACCCCAGAATGGCTTAGGTAGTTTAGCCATACTCAACATGCAACGAACTTTCTGCTCAATGGTTCGGTTCATTCTTTCGGCCAAACCATTGTGTTGTGGAGTTCGTGGAACCATCTTCTCATGTCTCATTCCGTATGCGGCGCAATATGCTGAGAATTCTCGGGAAGTGTATTCTCCTCCATTGTCTGAATGTATACACTCAGCTTCTTCCCTGTTTCTCTTTCACCCATGGCATGAAATAGTTTGAAACGATCAAACACTTGATCCTTAC